AGGTGGGCTTGCTTAACGCATTCCACCAAACAAGGCTGCCGTATGTGATCATTGGCCTTATAACTGTTGTGTAAAGCCGTGCACTACGTGGGGTTGTAAGCCCCAGGTGCGTCCAATGGTCCTTCTGCATGCCCATAGGCTATGAGTGGCCCTCTGTACGACCCTGTTGACATGTTCCTTCCAGGTCAACCTGGAGTCAATGATGACTCCTAGATACTTGACTGATTTGGATGGGGTCAGTCTTGATCCAAAGAGCGTGAGCCCTTCAAGGTTCATGTTTCTTCGGTTGGTGAATGGTACTACTTCTGTCTTATCCGGATTGACGGATAGTCCGTGATCGTTGCACCACCTTTCGACCTTATTAAGAGCTCTTTGCATGATCTCTTTAATAGTGTTTGGTACCCTTCCGGCTACGACGATGACGAGGTCGTCCGCGTAGCCTTGAGTGTATATACCTTCCTCGTTTAGGATACGAAGTAGCCCATCCAGCACTAGGCACCACAGCAAGGGCGATAGTACTCCTCCTTGCGGTTGAGCTGATCTCCGTAGTTCCAATCGAGCTTGTAATGATCCTGCTTCCAGCATGACACGGATCCATTTGACAATGGTATTCTCTATGCCAAAGCCTTCTGCAGCTCTATTTATCGACTCGAAGGAGGTGTTGTTGAAAGCTCCTTTAATATCTAGAAACGTGCCCAGACCCATCTCTTTAGGACGAGTCCCTCTCTCTAGTCTTGTCACAAGGCTGTGAAGAGCGGTCTCCGTCGACATGGCTGTCCTGTAGGCGTGTTGATTGGGATGCATGGGAATTCTTTTTAGTGTAGATCCAAATGAGTGGATGGCCCACTTTATGGAGCTTTCTGTCACTACCTTTGCAGCTAACAGTTTGCAGGATTTTTGAGCCTGGAAAGTGAGTTTCCAGGAGCCATTTAAGTGCCTCCTCCGTGGTGGTGCTATAGTCACCGGAGGGAAGCCTTAATGTCCCCAGCTCTCGTCCTGGATCCTTTGAGAGAATCTTTTGAAGCCTGGCTGCTGCTGGAAGCTCGTCTACGTTACCGCAGAACGTCCTCCACGATTCCCTCTTAGACCTTCTTATGAGATCTTTGTACCTGCGCTGAGACTGCTTGTGGCTGTCCCAATCCGCAGGCGATTTAGACCGCATGGCCCTGTTGAAGAGCCTGCGGGTTTCCTTTCGAGCCTTGTCGAGGTCAAAGTTCCACCAAGGGGTTTTCTTTTTTCCTCGATAGAACCGAAGCTGGCAGCTTCGTTCGTACGATGTGATGATTGCCTCGCGTACGAATTCGGCTGTTTCCTCCACTTGCTGAGAGCTGCGGCACGTCATGGATGAGTCCTCTAGCTTAGTCTTTAGCATCTCAACATACTGGTCCTAGTTAGTGTTCCGGGGGTTCCTGAACCTACTGAGCCCAGCATCGTAAGTTAGGTCTAGGCTAAAGAGAATGTGTCTGTGATCTGACAGGGATGGCTCTTTAGACACCTTCCAATTTCTTGTCATCGTTGCAATGGAGAGGGAGCCCAATGTCAAGTCTATCACCTCTTGTCTTCGTGACGTGACAAAGGTCGGTGTAGTGCCGATTACAAACGGACATTACTCCAGCTTACACAAAACCTTATCGTTTACCTTATACCCAGAAAGAAGAAATAAATAAACAAGTAGACAAAATGTTATCCGATGGTATAATTGAACCCGCGAATTGTGAGTGGTCCGCACCAATCCTAATAGTTCCAAAAAAGGCTGATAGTACAGGTAAAAAATGTTTTAGGCTTGTAATCGACTATCGAAAGTTAAATAATAAAATAAAAGATAATAAATTCCCTTTACCTTCAATAGAACAAATTTTAGAGTCATTATCAGGCGCGATTTATTTTTCACATTTAGATCTCTATCAAGGGTATTACCAATTAGAATTTGAAAAAGAATGTAGGCCTTATACTGCTTTTACGACAGAAAGGGGTCAATTTCAAATGACTAGGGCACCTATGGGATTAAAAAATAGTCCCAACGCATTTTCTAGAGCTATGACTATGACCATGTCCGGGTTAAACTACGAAAGTTGTTTTTTTTTATTTAGATGATCTTATTGTTTTTGGAAACAATTTAATAAATTATAATAAAAATTTAATTAAAGTACTAGATAGGTTGCGACAGGTTAATTTGAAATTGAACCCCTATAAGTGCGGTTTCCTTCAAAAAGAAATTTTATATTTAGGGCATGTCATATCTTCGAAAGGTATATCACCAGATCCGGAAAAAGTTATGGCAATGCAAGTATATCCAGTACCAAAAGACACTAAAAGTGTAAAAAGATTCGTGGCTTTTGCGAATTACTACAGGAAATTTATACAAAACTTTGCTACCCTTTGAATCAACTTACGAGAAAAAGTATAAAATTTCAGTGGTCACCAGAATGTCAGCATTCATTTGAAACATTAAAACAAATACTTACAAACCCACCAAATATCCTAATTTTTAAAAGAAAATAAATTTATATTACGAACTGATGCATCGAATTTCGCATTAGGGGCAGTTCTATCAAATTTTGATGACAGACCTGTAGCTTATGCGAGTAGGTCATTAAATAAGGCAGAGAAGAATTATGCTACCATATAAAAAGAGTTATTAGCCATAGTTTGGGCTGTAAAACGGTTTAGACCTTATTTATATGGAACTAAATTTTTAGTATACACGGATCATAGACCATTAATTTATTTGTTCGGAATGACTAACCCATCCAGTCGTTTAACTAAATTTAGACTCATTTTGGAGGAATATGACTTTACAGTTCATTATGTTAAGGGCAGTGATAATGTAACAGCCGATGCACTCTCAAGAATCCAAATTGAGTCAGATTTATTGAAAGAAATGACCTGTCAATCTATAAACGTAATGACTAGGGCACAAAGCAAGGTAAAAAAGACGGAGATAAAAAATGGTTTAACCCACGAAGGGACTGATCACCCTGGAGTGGTAGAATTATTAAAACCTCCCGAAAATTGTGCAGAGTTGCAAATTATTCATAGACAAGAATTAGATGCAATGTTAAACAAATGTCGAGACAAACACAACAAAAAATATGTTAAAGTAAATGAGAATGTGCATTATAATGTAAGTGATAATATCATATATCTAATACAAGATACTCGATCAGCGTTCGCACTAGATGCATCGTTGAGAGACTTGAAAGAAGTATGTGAGAAATTTAAAATTCCGGAATTAATAATATTAAAAAATGAACAAAATGCACAAATATTAAATAAAATCTTGAGAGCTCCAAGTAGAATAAAAAGTCTAGGTATTAAAATTTCTGTAATTAAAGGACAAAAAAAAGTTACAAGTCACGAAATGAAACAATTAATTTTGAACGATTTTCACAAGCTACCCACAGGAGGGCACGCTGGTATAAATCGTATGTTTAATAATATTCGTAAATACTATTTTTGGAATGGTATAAAAAAGGATGTTGAAAATTTTGTAAAACGATGCGATGATTGTCAAAAATGTAAGTATTCTTTAAATAAAAAACAACCTATGAAAGTCACTACTACAGCAATGACAGCTTTCCAAAAGGTAATGCTTGATCTGGTGGGGCCACTAGAAAACGACGCAGATAATAATCGTTATATTCTAACCTTGCAATGCGAATTAAGTAAATTCGTAGAATGTTACCCGTTACCAAATAAATAAGCAAAAACGGTGGCAAAGGCGTTTGTGGAAAATTTTATATTGCGGTACGGAATTCCTCAGGAAATCCTAACTGACCAAGGCACAGAATTTACAGCTTCAATATTCCAAGAGGTTTGTAGTTTATTAAAAATAAATTCATTAAGATCGACGACATATCATCATCAAACTCTTTAGAAAATTCACACAAGAATTTAGGTTCATTTTTACGATCAAGCGTTAAACAATCCAACTCAGTGGAGTACTTGGTTACCATATTGGAGTTTCGCGTACAATAACACAGTGCACACTGGGACAAAATATACACCATTTGAACTTGTATTAGGGAAAATTGGTATACTACCTTGTAAATTAATCCAAAAATAGATCCTCTATACAGTTTCGACAACTATCCGTTAGAATTAAAGTACCGTCACAAACTGCAAATGCAGACGCGAGAAAAAATTTAATTGCATCAAAAGTAAAGCGAAAACAATATTTTGATAAGGAAAACCATTGTAAATCTGTTAGCTATAAGATAGGAGATAAGGTGTGGCGAAAACAATAAACAGAAAGCGATATTTAAAGGACCCTACAAAGTGATAGAAAATAAGGACTCTAATGTAGTTATAAGAATAGACAGCAGGTTAGTTGAAAGTAAAGTAGTTAATGGTAACTGGTAGTGTTTTATCATCAAACACCCTTCACACATTACACTAGTATACAGAGTGTTGTCTGTTTTTCAAATATATATAATAAAATCTCCTGTTCAGATAACCCAATGACAGAAACAACATTTTAAATTTAGTTTAACATTTAGTTATTATTAACAACATATTTTTTGATGTTTTATAAAATTAGTATGGATTTATCATTATTTATTGTTTATATAATTAAATGAATTTATATTATTATTAATTTGTTATCATTATTCTGTATTAAATAAAAAAAAATTATATTCATTATTTTATTTACAATTTTTTTTCATGTTTTAAGCAATTTTGTGTCTCAATAATTTTTGATGATACATTTTTATCTAAATAGGTCTCCGAATGATGGTTTGGTTGGGTTACTTACCTTTGGTTATCATGCATATTACTTAAAATCTCCAGTAATTATGCCTATTAATAGTCATTTTTAATGATTGAATTTTTATCTAGATCCCCGGATAATGGTGAGTTAATTTTGTTTAGAGTTATTTTTGCTTCGGGAATTTGTTGTTTTGAGAAATTTTTGCAATGAGAAATGTTTGCCCTAAAGAATTTTTGCTGAGAAATTGTTTTTGAGAACATAAGACTTGGAGCCCTATATAATAATTTACCTGTTCACACATATCAACTAATAAGTCCAAATTATGCTGAATTTCAGGAAGTGCGAAATTCGAGCATTTCTTATGAACAACGTCTTCAAAGTTTTCTATACCAGGAGGAGGTTTTAGGCCACTTAAAGCATGGTATCCACTAAGAACTCTTTGCTGAGGTCCAGTCATATCAATCACCTTGACCTTGGACAGCTCACTAAAATATAATTTAATTTAATATTTGAAATGCATTGTTTTAATAATAATAATACAAATAATAATAATAATAATAATAATAATAATAATAGATTATTCATATTTAACTAAATTACATGTTGAAGCAATATTTCACAAAATTTTCTAAATAAATAAATACAGGACTTTTTAGTTTTGTAAACACAAATCTATTGCAAAAGTAAAACGGTTTAGGTACACATTAACTCCCGTTACAAATAAATATAATACCCCATTTAAGCATACTTAGGTGCACAAAAACTAAACTTTCACTAAAACTGTATATTTGTTTAAAAACATATTCCAATCCAATTGGCTGAACCATCTCCTAACCACTTAAACTGGATAATTTTAACATAATAGACCCATTTTTAGTTTAAGTCAGCTATACTTAAATTGCGTTCTGCGGGCTGAATGCGGCCCGCCACCCTATCTTTGCGGCCAGAAGAATAGCCACAGTAATTTGTAGATAAAAAATGCCCACAATTCAAAAGACTTTATCTTATACAGTCTTGTGAGATAAAGGAGGGCAATATTTTTTCTGTATTATGACGCTCGTGGAGCGGCCAAGTACAGTGGAGTCTTTCCAAAGTTGACTGTGACTAGTCTGGAATTCCTGGAATCAAAGTTATAGAACCTCTTCAATACGTTTTTTTAAGAAATGGGACGCGAGTAGGCAAACACCGACAAAAAGTAATTTGTTAATCTTGCGTATAAAACTTTAGTATAAAATCCCTGGCACTTACAAACCGCCTCTAACTTGCTGTATTGGGATTTGACAACGCAAAGTTATTGTATAAATTTATTGAATTTAAAACCGACTCAAACCTGGGAGTAATTTAAAAAAAAAGGAGTAAAATAATAAGTAGAATTTTGGAAATTAGTAGGTACCCGATAACTTTAAAACGCTGAAATAAAATATTGGACGCAATCCAAGAAAAGGAAACTAGCGTCCTAGCGACATGCCCATTAATTTTCAAAGTCGTGCGTCACTACACAAACGTCTATGCCGCGCGAACTTTAATCGCATCCTGTAAAAATTGATTATTCTTGTCTTAATATGACAACGTTTAGTTTTTATTAATTTTTTTTGTATGTAATATTATTTAAAAAGGTACATTTTACTTGATTAACTGGGGAAGTGTTGAAAACCGGGGGATGGAATTATTCTGTCTGCCTGAACACACCCTAGAGATTTTCCCATTTTTGTAGAATTTGTTTATTTTTATTTTAGGCTTTGTGTGGAGTATGTAAAATTACTACGAAAAAGACGTATGCGATAGCTTGTAATAAATAGGTATGGGATTTTAGTTATTTTACCTTTTTTCAACCGATGTAACTATTTGAAAACCAATAATGGCAAAATGTATATTATAAAGATTTTCTTTTATATGAACCTAACTTGTTTTCACCTTTTTTACCTTTTTTGGAGGTTTTTGCTTTAAACTACCTTTTTTATACTTTTTTTACCTATTTTTTTAACTTGTTTTCACCTTTTTTACCTTTTTTGGAGGTTTTTGCTTTAAACTACCTTTTTATACTTTTGTTACAGCAGTAGCTTCCTTATAGGAATATGTATATACAAAGATTGATAATGGACATGCTTTTTGGATCTTCAATAAGCATTTGATGTAGTTGATCACAATATTTTGATAAACAGATTAAAATACATTGGAATAAAAGGCAAACCACTTGAACTTTTCAAAAGTTATCTTACAGATAAAAGGCAGTATACAACGATAAATGACATCAAAATCAACATTGAGGTTATCATCAGTGGAGTACCGCAGGGAAGTGTATTGGGACCCATTCTTTTTCTGTTCTATACAGGGTGTCATTTAACTTAAAACTTTGAAATATCTCCGTTAGTATGCATTTTACGAAAAGATATTTAAATTAAAAATTAAATGATTCGAGGGGGGAAATCAATCAGTACTAAAATTGGTCCTCATACTCTCCTCCTTACATGGGGATCAGGGAGTAAAATTTCCAATGGAACACCCTATATATATTGGTCGTTATATGGTCGTTAAAATTAATTTTTTTACGACGCCCCCTAAAAAGCTTCGTTTTGATGAAAACAACACGTGCCTCAAGACGATCTAAGTTAATTTTTTGGTATAATCATGTCTTTTCTTAAAATATGGAATATAAATTTTTGTAATGTATATTTATATTATTTCGTTAAACACAAAAGCCTTATTTGATATTTATGTTAACCTTTTATAAACGTTTGTTTTCTTTGGGTTCAATAAATACATTAATTGTTTTTATCAAATATATAGCGTATGTTACGAATATTTTGTATTATAAATTGTAGTGTGCCTGGAAAATTCTTCAAACGTTGATTGTTGTTTCTATTATTGTATATTATTATATTATCACGTAACAATATATTATTACGTTTTTACCTTTGTTGTTTTGTTACGTTTTTCGTTTGTTGTTACGTTTTTAAAATTTTGTTGTTAAGACGCAAAAATAGAAACGTGTAAGAGAAACATAAACAATTTTTGTTATGTTTCTGGTCATTTCACCCCTATTGTTTAGTTTAGGAATTTTTTAGTTTAAATTTCGCGCGCTGCAAAAACCGATTTTGATATCAACCGCATTGCGCGGAATCCGAGATTTAAAACATGAGCAGTTAGCCATGGTCGTTCGGGGAATTAGAAGCAAAACGGGCAGATTAGATATAGAACGCGTTTTATTCGTCATTTCGTCATTTTGGTAACAGCATATCCTGGTTCTTTCCTTTATTCCTATCAAAACAGTGCCAGAAGTCATCGTGGGGCCCCACTCAGCAGGAAAGGAAGTCACACGAAATGTAAGTCCTGAAACCTTTACCACCATACAGTCCACTCGCTCCCAGCTTAACATTTGGTCCTAATACGAGCCCGATTTAAGTTAAATTCGTGTAATTTTCTTTTTTTTTATAGTCAAAAAACACCTTTTTATAGTTTTAGCAGCGTGCATTTTATAGGGTCATTTACGCTTTTTAGGAATTTAGCTGCCCAAATTATAGTATAGTAGCAAAATAGCATTTTATTTAAATAGGTTTAATGATACGTAAAATTTAATCGAATTTTTATAGCAAAGTTTAAAACGCGGTAGGTATATGAAGCATTTCTTTTGAATTGGCCACAGCAAATATTTTTAAGTAAACTATTTGAGTAAATTTAAAAAGATAGTTTTGGCTTGCTGGGGCATAGCTAATATTTTGGATATTTTTTGTCAAGGTCCGATTTTATTAATTAAAATGGAACAATATAATTATTTAGTGGAGCGTCGAAAATTTGAAATTAAAAAGTTTACAGACTTGGAGCAGATAAGCATTGACGCTTTGACAGACAAGTCATTACAAAATATGTTCGTTTTGCTTTAGCTGAAGCAACTTATAAAAATATCCAATCTATTAGTGATGAAATATTAAAATTAATCAGTGGTCAAAAGGTAGCCTTGTCGGGTAAAGTAGAGGATGACATAGCACAAGAATTTTGCAAGCGTAATGAAATAGAAGAGACTTATGTCATAATTTCAATAAATTATGAAACTATTTTTGGGTCGAAAAGTAGTAATAGCTCCAATAATGTTCCAGGCAATAGCAAGCCTGGCCTAAGGTTGCCAAAACTCAATTTGTTAACCTTCAATGGTGAATTTGAGGCCTGGGGGTCATTTATAGAAATGTTTCGTTGTGTAATAGATAGTAATAGTAAAATTTCTGACATTCAAAAGCTGCAATATTTGTTGGGAAGTTTGAGCGATGAACCATTAAGCATTGTTAAAAGCCTGCCCCTAGTAGGGTCAAGTTACACTTTGGCACTGAAAAGCTTGGAAGATAGGTTTGAAAATAAACGTATTTTGGCGGACAGCTGCTATAGTAAAATAAAAAATTTGCCTGCGGTTCAAGATAGCTCCAAGTCGTTACGTCAGTTAATTACCACTATGTCTGAGAATTTAGCGGCATTAAATCATCTAGGTCTTCCGACGGATTCTTGGAATTACGTCCTTTTTGATATGGTTTTTGACAAATTACCTAGAAATATATGCACTAAATTTGGAGACCAACACATATCCAATGAAATACCATCTTATCAAAAATTAATTTCATTTCTCACAGCACACTGTCAATCATTAGAAGTAGTAGACTTAAAAAAGCATGTAAGTCAACAACTAGCTCATTTAATAGTCAAAATAAGAATAGTTCATTTAGTAGTCAAAGCAGCGGGCAAAATAGCCCAAATAAAAACATTGTTTTTAGTAGCCAAAATAAAAAGCAAAATTTTGCATTTTTAGGTAATACCTCAACAAATGAAAATCTAAAGAAAACAGAAAATTGCTCTTTGTGCCCCAATTTTTTTTGAAAAATCATCCGAAGATAGGTACTCGTTTGTAAAAGGTAATAGAATTTGTTTAAATTGCTTAAGCTGTAACCACCTAATAGCACAATATAGATTTCGCTCAAGATGTAGGAAGTGCAATTAAACGCATCACACATTACTACATTTTGATAGCACGGATGGTAGAAATAGTATAGATCGCAGAAATAGCCTTTAAACTAGAAACAGCATTAAGAGTAAAAATATTAGTCCAAATAATAATAAAAAGGGTAGAAGAAGAAGACTAACCTAGATTAGTTAGTTTGAAGTAGTCTTAAATATTTAAGAAATTACAGTTAATTAATTCGGTTTTCTACGTTTGGGACCGATTAAAGTGCTAATGATACTATTGGTTACTAATTTCAATCATAATGAGTAAATATAAGTGTGAAACGTGCAAAGGCACATGTGGCTCAGACTTCATTGGGTTTTGTTTATGCGGAAAATGGTTTCACGGAAAATGCGTTGGGTTGGACAACAGTAGACTGGGTTTCTATGCAAACGAGTTAAAAACCCTGAGGGTGCCAAATGGAAATGTTCAAACTGTGATACCGAGGTCATTACGAATGGTGGTTCAATGCAGGAGTTAATTACAAACAGTCTAACAACG